CTTAACAGACTGCGTACGTCCTATTAAGTAGGAACCCAGCCAGTCTAATAGAGGACCGTCTACCCCATAAGCATTTAGCTTATGCATCAGGCGCATGTGTGGTACCCTGTCAAACGCCTTTTGCATATCAAGGTAAAGAATGACAACTGATTGATTAGAGTCAATGGCCTCGGTGACCAAATTAAGGAAGTCCAGCTGACAGGTTGCACAAGACCGAGCACTTAGAAACCCGTGCTGAGATTCATTTATGTGCTCGCCTGCGTAAAGATGAGTCATGAGGGCTTTTTTAATCAACTTCTCCATCACGCGCGAGATAATGGAAGTGTGGTTAATAGGGCGATAGTTACCAACTTCCTGTAGGCTTCCGCCCTTATGCCTTGGCACTATGATAGAATGTTTCCATGCGGCCGGGCATTGACCTTTTTGCATTGATAACGTAAAGATTTTTAAAAGAAGCATAGGGATATCTTCACCACCATTCTTAAGTAGACTGGGCGGGATTCCGTCTGGACCAGGGTCCCAGGATGGCTTGGTAGTTGAGATCGCGGAACGGACACTACTTAGGTCAAACTGTACAAAGGACAGGGACTGGCTACCGGGTACCTTCATGGCCTGAAATGTTGAGCTTATTTCTAAACACTGCGATTCTTTAAAATGTGAGCTGAAGGGTTCACATAAAATTCTTGGGTCACTAGACGTTTCGTTGGGACTGATCTTTAGAGTAGAGATCTTTCGCCCATAGTTATGGGTTCGAGAGCGCGGCAGCCAACTGAGACTCTTAGCTTTGTTTGCACTATTTAGTGCGGCGATTTCTTGCTTGGTTTGCTGCTGCTTAGCTCTGGCAGAAAACTGGTGTGCCATCTCGTTCGCTGTCATGATGTGAGCAAAATTAAAGGTTTTGTAATAGGATCGTCTAAGATGACGCATTCTGTTATGCATTTTGGTTTGGGTCACACTTTTAGAAGAATGCCTTATTAAATGCAACAAGGGAGCTAGAGAGTCGAGACAGTGAAGTATTTCCTCATAAAACAGCTCAGCCGAGCGATCCACAGAATCACACATAAAGAATTCATCCCAATATTTTGATCGGACGCGCACAGCAAAGGTTGTCCAGTTGTTGAGGTGCACCGGGCGGTATACTAAGACTGCATCTGGTTCTGTTGAGTGGGCATTATGTTGCTTTAAGTTATCCGAGCAGTGCACTAATCTGTGATCACTACCCGTAAACTCCCGGCCGACTGCCACTCTCGTTAATGGGATGCCGAGTGTAAATATTAGGTCAAGGATGTGTTCCTCCCTGGTTGGAGCAGATACATGTTGCGTCCAGCCGCCTAAATTGATACATGCTTTTAAGGCAGCATACTTCGTTGTTGCAGCAGGTGAGAACCAGTTTAACTCAGGCAGGTTGAAATCTCCTGCAACGAGCTTGTAATCGCAGGCAAAAGTTGACGCATGCGCAAAAGCAACCATAAATGCCTTGTCACCCTTACCTGAGGTATCAGGTGGTCTATAAGCACACCCAAATAATATCGTGGATCCCAGGATATCAGCCGTTATCCATACTGAATCCATCGCCTCAGCCGCGTTCATGATTTCGGACGTTTTTGCTGGGTAAGTATTTTTAACATAAATGGCACACCCGCCCCCTCGTTTATGCGCACGCGACTGCATAAACAGCTGGTAGTCAGGAAGTGAGTAGTCCTCCTCTGAAGCATAAGGGGAAAACCATGTTTCCGTGACAAATATTGCAGCAGGGTCGACAAGGACAGACAGCGGACGCATGATATGCATTTTATTGTTTAAGGACCTAGCATTTATAAGTAGAAGTGAGAAAGAACACTTGGGGTCTACTAGATTTACGCATGACGAGATGAAGCCGTTGATGCTTACTTCGCTATCTGCGGTAGTTGTAGGAAGTGGGTGAGCAGACATTGCAGATGGTAGTTTGGCGACGAGGAGTTTGGTGCCGGAATGAAACTGTCGCGGCTCATCCCCACCTGGTCTAAAAAATGCGCAGGTTGCGAGGTAGGAAGTAGTGGACTATTTGGCCATTTTACCTGGACCGACGACGAAAGTCTGAGGGATGTAGCAGGTACATAACAGCCTGGATGCGCAGGTAGTTGATCGGAGCTGCGTAAATTAGCAAATGTAGTGCTCTCCCTGGGTGAATTGGTAACGGTGGTGGTACGCAATGCCGTCTCACAAGTATCTGGGGTATGGTTGGGTAGTGTCCCTCTTGGTGGGCCAAAATACAGTTGCCTTAACTTGGGAGCATTACGAAGTTGTTCACAATTCGATAGTATAGTGCGCAAGATTCTACTATCGTCTGTTGTCAATTTGACTGGGGCTGGGAATTTACTGATCCTCTTGACCATCCTCTCAAAGTGTACCGAGTTTTCCGCGATACCGTTAACCTTAAGGATTATGCTCTGAAGCGCGCCCGTCGATATGCCATCCGGAACATTAAATACAAGTACGCTACACAACGCATTGTTTCAACCCAGGTGCTGCGACTGCTTGTCTACCGATCTTGCGCTATTTAAGGCTTGTGTGGGTGACATAGCCGTCGTCGGTGAGTGACTACGTTAGTTTGCTCCGCAAGCCCGCTTGACATTGAGATCCTTCTTAGTGTTAGACACAATGCTGTCTAAGCGCTTAGGTGTAGCTCGTTGTCTCTTTTTGGATGCGCCAAGCTCGCGTTGCCTATAGCCTGCAATGATAGGATTAGTTGCAGCCCAGCCTAAGCTTCTTTTCAGCGGCCCGAATGTAAGCTGGCTTAGCATTGTTGCACTGCGAAGCTATTCATGGTTAGCTATGAGAGTACGCAATACTTCCTCATCCTTTGCGTTCAGTTTGATGGTCGGTAAGGTCGAACTCTCCCGTGTATCTAGCCTGGTTGACCTAGGCGTCGTACACTTCTCGGCTATGCACTCCGGCGACAACTGGAAGAAGGCCGCAAGCAGAGGTTTCCGCATGTTGTGGTTAATACGACGTTCCTTCGGGATCTTGACGGGCGGCCTATTTACGAGACTGTTCTCGGCTTTCGTTCGGCCGCATCTGGAACACTGCGTCCAGGCTTGTCCGCCCTCCCTCGTCCGGGACAAAATGGAGCTAGAGAGGGTTTTACGAGTGGGTACTAGGTTAGTCGAGGGATTATGGGGACGGACGTACCCCGAGCGTCTACTTAGTTTGGGAATGCCTTCAACGCACTAACCTACCGTATCTTAACTGGGAAGGTTGGTCCAGATTTATCTTGGCTATTCAGCCCCGCTAGATTGTCTTTTCTACGCGGTCACCCCTTGAAGCTGGACAAACCGCGGACCGATCGGAGTAGGGCGGAAATCCGGCTGTCACGTTGAGTCATCGAGCGCTGGAACAAGCTTCCGGAAAATGTTATCATGGAATCTACGGTTAAGGGGTTTGAGCGGCAACTTGACGCTCTTGGGTGGCCACACGAAACATTCCATTTTCCTGAGTAACTCGCATCTTCGTACTTGGATTTCCTTTGCTCCACTTTTCTTCATGCATTGTAATTATTTTCTTAATTCAAGTGCACTTCTTTATACTGTACCTTCGATTTCTCTTTTTATCCTTTGCTTACTTCACGTGACTGCCACAGCAGGGACTGCTAGGGCAGGAACCGTGGGCATTAACTGCTGGCCAGGGAGCGATACGGGTGTACCGTTTTAGATCCATCAAGAACTGAGCACTTCATCACTACCTGGCTCAACGATCCACTCAAGATGGAACACTCACGGGATTCTCCCATCGTTCCAGTCTCACCTGAACTCGAACTTGAAAGACAAGCTTATCAAATTAGGTAAGTTATATTGGATGCAATTGCAAATGAATCAAGGAGTAGTATGCCGTAATAAGCAAGTAAAAGCTTAAGGCATGTGGAGAAATAGTTCAAATTGCAGCCCGCGGATGTCAAGTAAATGTTCAAACGCTTCCACTGTCGGTGACATAACTTCCATGGGTAGCGGGTTCCAATAAACTATGACCCTACGCGATAACCGAATAGCTGCCCTAACCCGGTCAGATCAAGGTTTGTGCAACTTCAATGTTGGACCACGTAGGGTTGGCACTGGAGTTGGGTCGAAAAGTCTAGTTAAATCTGGACTCACCTTACCCATTATTGTGCGAATTCGCTCGTAATGCATCGAAACTATATCCAAGTTACGTGGCCTCTCCAAGGTACAACTACTTTAACCCATGCACCATTTTCGTCCGAGACCGCAAGGACCGTTCAGTTGCCACCCTGACACGAACGAGGCATGGGGGACAAGTCTGTACACAATATTCCAACTGCGGCCTTACAAAAGCCGAGGCTTCTAACCGACGTTTCAGTCATCAAGCTCGCGAACGCCTTCCCAGGTATGAATGATGTATAGATTACTTCAGTAGTACGTTCAAGCCTTCTCAGTGTTATTTGTACCTTTTGTTGCACATGGCTTTCAAAACAACCTGCATGATGAAACACGACGTGTTCTTCGCTAAGCTCCAAAAAATACCACAGGTGTTAACGTCTAAACAAAAACACCCCAGCTCATTGAATGAAACAGTCACATCAAGTGTATGGAAGAAAACTTTACAGACAAGCCGTCAAGGAACCAATAAACACCGAGGAGGGATTCAGGGTGGGTTTAGGAGCAGTACCCAGACACGCACCTTCGGTGATTCTTACTGCTTTCGATCCACCCTCGAGCGCTTATAACAATGTCGCAGTAGCGAATTGAAATCGCTTTACATCCGTTATGTCCTCGCACTTCCGACAATACTTTCCTAGAAACCTATGAAACCTTTTGGAATCAGTTGCCATGACTACGGCTTCTAAAGTCGCGCCAAATGCCTTTAAAGACTGATGTGGTCTACCTTAACAAAATCTACAAATATTGTAAAGACGTCTGATACATAAAACATTACCTCGTTAACATGTGCAGCGCCGATATAAATATCAGCATCTAACTTAACACAATGACATGCATTTAGAGTGCGTAGCGAACCTAGCCCGCTGCTAGGCAAGACTCAGATGTGATTCACGTTCCGGTTGTGTTCTGTCTGCTGGTGAGGCTATTGAGTGTCGTTTACTGAATGGGCACGCTGAGGAAATTCGTAGATCACATTTTGCCGGCATCTAACCAAACCAAGGAGAAAAATCTCGATGCTTTAGATGCCCTTGATCACTCGGTATTTGGGGTGTTTGCATCTAAATGTTATTTTCAGTGGGGTTCCTCTGTGCCCGAGCCTATTGATTACGAACTGTATCTAGCGAAACACAGAACATCCATCGCGAACGATCCACACAGGGATATTTTGTTGTTTCCTTCGGATGACCTCAAGGTTTGTTTAAGCATTCGTTTTCCCCATTAATGCTTTTGGAACTTTGTTTCTCTACTCTTATTGCTGGTGCATGCTTTGCCGTTTGTATGTAAAAGACCACTGACACTGTCCTTTATGCCAGGCGGCCTCCTTTTAACTGTTGCTGTTTCACCGAAATGCCTGTTGCACTCGAGTGCATTAGCAACTGCTTTCGCAAATGTTTTGGTTCATTAGGATGTGGAGAGCAGGAGAGGAGACTTGTCAACTTCGTCGATTCCGATTCAGTGCATGGTTGACGCGACTGGTTGCGAAACGGCATTCAGGTCAGGTTCCCAGAACAGTATAGGCGTCCGCCTAACGAGCGTCCTGCTTCTTTCACCGGCAAGCAACCAAGGGCCCCCGGTATTTCGACTTCCAGTTGCATTTCTTGCTTCTGCAAAGAAGACGAAGAAAAAGCAGCAGTATTGTACGTTCATTTTACATGAGTTCTCTGCACCGAGCATCATTAAGTTTACAGTAGTTCTGGAAAATGTTCTAACCAATATCTGTCTAGACCTCTCTTGAAGGCGTCAACCGTTGTACAGTTCATCAACGACGGGGGAAGCTTGTTCCAGCTGCCGACAACGCGGTTCGCGAAGTATTTCCCCCTTATATAGTCGAGACATTCGATGCCTGAGCTTAAGATGATGACCTCAGGTGATCTAATGTAGCTGGCTCAAACAGGTTGGTAAGCTTGATGCCACGAGGCCCTTCATGATCCGAAACAGCTCTATTAGATCACCTCCCAATCTATGCCTTTCAATGGAAAACCATCCCAAGCTCTTTAGACGTTCATCATACAGCTTTTCACGTTGACCCTCAATCATTCTAGTCGCCAGCTTCTGTACCTTCTCTAGACAAATAACCTCCTACCAGAGATAATGCGTCCACGCTTGGACGCAGCTCATTGACATACAAAGAAAACAACAACGGGCCAAGCACCGAACCCTGAAGGACCCCACTGAGGACTGACTGACGGAAAGACAGACTAGATCCCACACGAACACACATCTCTCTCCCTTCCAGAAACGTGGTGATCCATTTTAATGCACGCCCTGATATTCCATAGGACCGAAGTTTCAAGGAGAGGCGAGAATGTGACACAGTGTCGAACGCCTTGAAGAAGTCAATAAACACTCCATCTACTGCATGACTCCGATCCAAAGCATCCGCCCAACATTCGCGTGCAACTAGCAAATTAGTCATGCAGAAATGACCCTTGCGAAAGCCGTGTTGAAATGGACTGAGCAGACCAAACTCGCAGGTGGTTTTCAAGCACATTCCTGACCAACTTCTCCAATACCTTGTCCATTACGCTTGTCAAACTATAATTGGCATGGAGATGCTTGTCGCCCTTTTTTAAAATCGGGCAGACAATAGCATCCTTCTAGTCCTTGGGAGAGGAGCAGCTGCGAAGCGACAACTGCAACAAACGCGTCACTGGGCCACATAACTTGCTTGCGAGTTCGTACAAAAGCTTAGGGTGAATTTCATCCATCCCAGCGGATTTAGCAAGATTTAGCCCCTGAAGGACATGGAGAATTTTTTCCTCCGAAATTGTGACGTGTGTTAAACAGGAGTCCTATGGGACTCATTGCTAGGTCAAGATGCGGCAATTGCTCATCCCGAACAAAAGTCCCGGCATACTGCGCACTGAGTAGACACGCTTTTTCGTGATCATTGGTGGCAATGGCACCGTCGCTGCCTAATTACACTGGGATAGATGAGCCAACGTTACTACGCCTTTTGATGTAGGCGAAGAATCTTTTGGGATTTGCGGAGGCTGAGTTAGCCAGCTCCATCTCATAGCTAAGTGTAGTAGCTCGTAAATGACTTGCAAGCATTCCGAGCTTCACGATAACGCCGAAAAGTACATTCTGGGAGAACTGTCCGGTAGATCCGCCAGCATGTTGCCCGTCTATTCATTAGCTGGTGTGCGACTGAGTCCAACCATGGTGGCTTCGCTTTGGTACTCTTCTTTACCGGAAAAGGATGTGGGGGTGGGATATATTAAAGAGGAAAGACTTAAACATATCCCAAGCCGTCTGTATATCATCATCCGGCAAGGTGATGCATGGGAAACTTACTATCTTGGCTCTAATAGACGGAAAGTCGGCGTGCCAAATGTTCTGAGTCCGGACCATGCGTGAATCGTAGTCTCTAATGAGAGCACAAGTGAATGACAAACACGTATGGTCACTGGCTCCCAAAGGGGGACCGTACTCAAGGTCACTCATAAACTCAACCGACTTTGCGAAAACTAGGTCCAACAGAGAAGGAGCATGGCCCACCATGTACCTGGTGGGTCGATCGACAAATTGGTGTAAGGTTACTTCCAGTGTCAAGTCAACAAGCTCGGCAGCCAACCCTGTTGTCGCTGCCTCATAAGATAGGTCATGCCAATTTACTTCAGGGACGTTGAAGTCCCCCATTATCAAGCATCTTCTCAGAGTGAGGGCGGATGAAGTCAGTGAAACTCCTAAAAGCGCTATCAGGGCTCCTATACAGCAGCACAATTTTAAATTGCGTTGATTCGGTACAGACTTCAACTGCAAGAGCTTCAACAGTTTTATCAGCTGAGTTAAAGGTATGTGTTTTTGATATGTTTACACCACATCTGATATACAAGGCGACTCCACCTCCGCGGCGATCAGATCATCATCACCATCATCAACAGCAGTACATCAGCCATTTGAACTGATGCTTCGCTGCCATACAACCATGAGGACCTATGAAATAAAGAATAAGAAGAGGGAGAGAGGGGGGACTTACCTGAAAACCTTAATGCCCTAAGCAAACATTCTGGGTCAAGGCGCCTACACCTTGTGTAGACAACACATCATCACAAACAGCTGGATATCGTGCAAAGATAAGGCGGCATCGGCGAGACAGCTTCCTTGCGGCTTTCACTGCCACGTGTCATAACCAGCCATTACCCCGCAGATAACTCAGCACCAAACACACTTTAAACAGACAATCCGATTAGGAGACGGCAGCAGACGCGCCACTGGTGTCGGTTGCGAGCCATGTCCTGTAAAGCCAAGCACAAGGTGAGTCACGTGGACTCCAACCCGGAAGGCGAGACGGACCAACGGCACCCAGTTTGGTCGTCAGTGACTTCATTTCCCGCTGCCAAGTCAACTTCTGTCCACCTCGAGCCTTGCGCCATCCTACACCTGGTAGACTGAACAAGGCCCTCCTAGGTAAGCGGTGACCAGGCATGCGTAGCATGTGCCCGGGCCAACGCAACTTATTCAGTGCTATCTGTTGTTCTAGGGAGCTAGCATGATTATCACCACCTAGTACTCGCCTACGCACATCATCGTTGCAGACACGCTGGTGCCATCCGACACCAGCAATGCTTCGCAGACAACGATGATCAAAGACTCGAAGGCGCCTCAGATCTTCAGACCGAAGGGGCCAAGTCTCACTATCATACAGCAGAGCGGCCCTCACTGTGGCCTTGTATACCCGGGCTTTCAGACGGAGGGAAACTCCCTTCTGTCGCCAAAGATGACGCAGGTTCAAGAAGGCAGCTCTGGCCTTTGCAATGCGTGGGCTCACGTCAGTTTCTATGCGCCCATCATTGCTGATGCAGCTGCAAAGATAAGTGAATTGATCAACCACCTCGAGTTCCTCGTTAGCAAGCGTCAAGGGGTCATCAAGTGGCTGGTGGTCCAGCAGCAACACTTTGAAGGTGCGAAGTGCCTACCAAATAATGGGACCACTCCGGATAGGTTATTCAGGGTTGATTGTGCCGCTTCAACATTGTCGAATAGCAAGACGATATCTTCCGCATAATCTAGATCAACTAACCTTTCACCAGACAGCACTTCAACGCCTACGTCTTTGGATTCCGCAAGGGAACACTCCATGATAGAATCCACGACGAAATTGAACAAAAACGGGGAAATCGGACAACCCTGACGAACGCCACTTGTAGTTGAAAAGCTATCCGATAGGACACCATAGACCCTGACGCGGCCTGTAGTGTTCGAGTGTAGAGCACGAAGGATGTTCACATATTTCGTGGGAACGCCTTTCCGCGCAAGTATTTCGAACAGAATCGATCGATCGACTGAATCGAACGCACTCTTGAAATCGAGGAACACAGCTATTGTCGGTCTGCGGTATGCGTGGCGCTGCTCTAGCACCTGCCACAAAGCAAATATATGGTCTACACAGCCACGTCCTGGGCGAAAACCGGCTTGCTCTTCCCTAATCCGAGATTCCCGTTCTGCAGTGAGGCGACGAACTATAGTCGAGGCCAGTAATTTTGTCACAACTGGCGTTAGGCTAATACCCCTGTGGTTCGCACAGTCTGTGTGACTGCCCCTTTTGTATATTGCCACTATAATCGATTCGCTCCAATTAGCCCGCAGACTTCGTTCCAGGTACGTTCGAATAGGGAGGTTAGTGCCTTGCAGAGGACCTCACCATCCTTAAATAGTGCAGGTGGGAGGGAATCCGGACCAGCGGCACAAAAACGATTGAGGGCTGTGATCGCGTTTCGGACCTCGGCTTTCGACGGAGGCTCTAAACTAACCGTCCATGGCACGTCCTGCATCACCTGAGTAGGAAGAGGTCCGGGAGCAGGGGGCCAGCTGAACTGATGTTCATAGTGTTCAGCCCAACGATCCATACGACGCTCCTTATTGTGTATCAGCGCACCCGCGCTGTCTCTGATTGTCTCACTGACGCCTGGTTTTCTGGGACCAGTGGTGCGAATTAGCTGGAAGAGCTTGCGGTAATTGCCTACTGCTCCTGCCTCCTCCATTTCTTGAGCCCGTTCGAACCATCAGATGGGCGGTCAGATATCAGTATTTCGTAGTCCGGGACGTATTATTCACTGTCCATGACGTCAAAAAACAACCAGGTTTCAGTGAACACGAGTACATCAGGATGGGAGCGGTCTATTAGGGCCCCTACTTCACACATCTTGTTTCGTAGGCTACGCACATGACTGAGAACTATGTGAAAACGTTTGGTATGGAGAGCTCCGGGTCGTGTGCTACCAGAATGGGCTTTGGTAGGGCGGAAGTGGACCGTCGGCTCACCCCCCGAAAACCCACCAAACATAAACCTTTCTCGCTAGTTTCGCGACGCGCTTTAAGGTTTTTGATGGCTTCCTTAAGCTTTATCCTATCTGCTAAAGGTAGATCCGGCTGTATACTCACTCCGGAACCCTTTAGTTCAAAGGCGAAGCGCAAAAGAACTTGGAGCTCCTCCGGTTAGACAGGACCACGCGTAATAGACAGGGTCTACATTTAGTACTATCACCCGATATGTTTCCAAGCCTAGTAAGTTTTCTAACAGTAGCCCCAGGAAACCCGGGTGGAATTAGTTTAGAAACGCAAAGTTTGAACCAATGAAGGTCGTCAAGCATGCGATCTTTCGGAGGAGCCGCAGAGGACTCCGAGATATTCCTAAAGATAACGTTGTCCGTAAATGCATCACTACGACGAGGGGTGTTTACGGCACGCGTCACCGTAACGGTGGCTGACGCAACGCTTGAGTTCATATCCTCCTTAGTAGGAACAGCAGGTGCACAGGAGGATTCCGGCAATGAGGTGGAAGAGTTTTCTGCCTTCGTTTCCGGGAACGGAGTATCGACAGAGCCCAGCGTTACGTCTTTTAGCTTGGGTTTGGTTGTGCTGATGGATTTCTTTATCTTGCGTCACTTTGCCTTCGCAGATACACTGGTCTGTACAACTTCCCCACTCACAACTGAGTTCAATATAACGTCAGGATGTTTACCATCTTCAGGCGCCGCCTCAAGAGTTGGTGAATCCTTCGATGTCATACTATTTATGCAATCGTCTGAACGCACGCTTGTTCTGAGAAGGCCTGCACGTTCAAGGCTTACGACGATTTGATCAACCTTCCCCTCTAAAGAACTAAACAATGATAGAAGGGTACCCACTATATTCAACAAAGTTTCAAATTCGTCATTTGGGACTAGGCGATATGCTTTGTGCCCCACACAACCAGGGCAATTATAAGGTAAATCCTCGCTGTTTTGTAGGAGGATATACTGCTGTCTATCCAACGCAGTGCAAGTCTCATGGAACCAAGAACTGCAGAGCTCACATTGCATGCCACCCGAAGAACCAGTAACTGGTTCTGAGCAACTCGCTTTACTACAAACAGCTGACGAATCAACTAATGGGTCCGAGGGCGACTTGGGACCGGATATCTTTACCATAACGAAAAATGAAAAACTTTAACAGACAATAGGAACGTGAACCGGGGTACGGTAGGCTACAATACAGTCAACGTGAGCAGCAATCAGATAGAACCCGGAGTGATTCGTTTGCACAGATTTGGACTCACCGTATCAATAAAAGTAGCAACGAAGACCAAAACAGGCTTTTCTGTAGAATAACTTCCAAAAGCTGTTCTCCGTTGGAGCTGGGCGAGACTGCAGGAACGAGGAATTGATCAGCTTCGCGCGGTCGAATATCAACCCGATTTGTACTCGATCGATGAGATATCGACAAAGGCCGGAATCTTTTGTGTTGAAGTCTTCAAACAGAGGCCAAGCAATATTTCGATGAGAAAACCACGAACAGTAGGTAAACAATTTAAGATCTTCAAACGCTGGTATACTGGACACCTTCAAGCCCGTTTGAACCACAAGAAACACAAAGTCAAACTTTCTGATCAGAGTTATTCAACACTGTTTCCACAAAAGGCTTCCGAGAAGGAAACTCAAGCGGTGAAACACGACAACCACGCCGTGACAAAGGAAGGCACACAAGAGATTCCGAGTATGTTGACACTTCCAAGTACTTTCGGATCACAAGAAAACTGACAAAGCCAACTTTTCTGTATAGTGTTATTCAACTACTGTTCTCAAACAAGGATTTTAGTAAAGAAAATCTCGAACGGCGAAACACGAAAAGCACGCTGTGACCCAAAGGGGGACCTAAGGCAGTAATTTCAATATCTGTCAACCTTCCAGGGCTTGGATCCATATCTGGTTAACCTTACGTACGCACATGCGCACTACAACATTTGAGACAATCTGCGCGCATGTCTTGTTTTTTGTTAGTGGTTAATTACGTCACCACATCCAAGTGACTTGTACTGCGGTAAACTGTACATTTATCCAAACTAGCGTATTCGACAACCGCTTCACACTGCTGGCACCTTGGAATTTAGTTTGAACTAAATAATCGTCGTACCTTGCCTCAGTTTGAACACTCATAATCCATCAGTATTCTGTCATCATATTGATTGGGTGCTTTCAATGCAACATGCATCGTCAACACGGTCGGTGAACTGCATTGCTCACGTCGACGTATACCACACCATTTTGCATCATTTTGATCATACTATTTTTCTCTTGTGCATTCACCACCAATGCATGTCTCTTTCTGAATTCAGCTACCATTGACCCTCTTGCCATTAAAGTTAATGAGTATTATTGGTGTAACAGTCCAAACATCAGCGAAACGGGACGCTTGTTTCGTCCCTGTATCCTGTCCTGTCATTTTGAAACCGAGCTATCTTTCACTCCTGTCCAGTTTTGTTATTCTCCATAGTCATGTTGAGGTTTAGTAGGTAGCAACCGATCCCTTATGATGGCTACAGTTTTTGATGTCCCTTTTATGTTAGCCGGCTCGCCGCCGTACTATTGCATTATTTCCTTGGCAGTGAAATTTCGTCCCTGATAGATTGCTCAGGGATACAGGCATAATCGCTTACATGGTTTTTCATCTTTGCTCGGCTTCTGATTATTATATCTTTTTGGTAAAAACCCAAGCTTCCACTATGTTGTTCGAGATTTGGTACTTAGTGATTCTGCTAAGACGTTGCAAAAGAGTTTTGTGTCTTGTCGCGTTTGTTGATACTTATTTGCTGAATGTCATATTTACTCCGTTAGCTTACACGCCTTCCATGTCCTCACCGGATTGCAAACGCCGGTGCACCACCCGAAGCATTGCAACCCGGCGCCTTTGCAGACAATCCACTTGGACGTCATTCCGTCAGTTTCTTGGCCAATACTGAGTGGATATGCATTCACCAATCATCTGCTTTGTATCGTGGTTCCTACTGCAAGTTGCCACGTACTGAGTAAGCCACTATTTGTTAATCCTTTATTTTACTTTCTCGACCTTGCGGATCCAATTTTATCGTTAGACGACCACCTGCAGGGGTGCTTTTCGCAGATACAAGCTGCTTTACATCGGCATGCGCTTCGACTGTCTGAAAGTTTTTCTTTATCAGGTCATAGCAGACTGCTTAAGCACGCCGTCCTTATACACTATGGCTTTTGCTTTTACCTATTACATTGGTAGTAACTGCGCCCTTCGGTTAACTCCTTGAAACTCGTTGCGCGCTTTTCGATAATATCGCCGCGGTGTTACTCGATCCATCATTTATTTCGGTGAAGGAAGCTAATAATCACCTCTTTGGCGCTCAGACTATTTTGCCATGATTTTTCGAACATTTCTCAAACTTGACATCACTCATAATGAACACTTGGCTGTTAATTCATGCCCCAACTACTTGCGTTGGTTTATGCATTGTTGTGACTCACAATATCACGATATTTTACCCTGTGACTTAAGTATCGGCCACTGTTTGAACTTTTTAACCACTTAACCGCGGCAAATGGCATAGTCCGGGCTTTGTATTTTGTACAGAACAGATTCTCTCGAATTACCTATGTATTTGTGTTTCTTGGTCTGTTATTTTACCATCCTTTTGATATTGAAAGCTAGTCTAGTTGTTCTTCTTAGACTCGTAGTTTTAACTCCTCAAAGAAGAGTAATAAACGTTATTTTGATACCCTTGGTTTCACGATTTTTCACCGTAAACACATTGCCGATTACTGCAGTTTGCACATACCTTTGATACAGTCTGCTACTGAATCATGGGAATAGTTTTTTCTCTTTTGCAACCCTAGTTAATTTGGGCGACAGATTGCAAGCACTTTTTAATGGAGGCCTTTCATATCTTCATTTTCTCATTACACGCGAACTACTCCAGATCGTTCGCTCAGCCCTGATAGCATGCAATTGAACACGCCCACGCTTACTCATCTTTACGGTTATTAACGTGTGCCACCACTTTAAGACCCATCTCACAGCCTCCATCACGATTATCAAGCTATCACAGTCATCTTTATCCCTATACTGGTAGCTCGGGTTGATGAATCAATTGTTCATTTGTTCGCCGAGCTTGGCGGTTTTCTCGCAAACGTTTCACCACCATGCGAGGTGGCATCCTCAGTGCAGTGATATGTAGCGTGCAAGCTTACTAAGCTTGCACGCTACATATCACTGCACTGAGGATGCCACCTCGCATGGTGGTGAAACGTTTGCGAGAAAACCGCCAAGCTCGGAGAACAAATGAACAATTGATCTTTATCCCTAGTTTAATGTTCATAATCTGTTCCTTATCTCGGATCTCATTTATTGCTAAAGGCAAGTCAGTTATCACACTATATTGTTGTAACTAAATTCGTCCCAATTCCGGCCTCTGCTAGTTAGTATACGTGTTACGGTGAATCTACGAGTTTCAGGATTCGCTAAGAGCAAGCCCTACCTCAATCGTATGATTGTGGTTACTAGATAATTTATGGTTTTGTGCGGCGGTCTACTAGTCATTGCTTCTGAATATCACTAGCCTTAGTTACGTGATACATTGTTGGCTGTGTCTAGTTACTGGACTGTTGAGATTACATACATACATACGTGATACCTTTCCGACCCGTCTGGGTAGCACAACTTCAAGTCTAACTAGGGCAGCACACTACCATCGCACAGTGCATAGTTTTTTTGGTACTCAGTCTTCAGGACTATGCCAACCAAGCGTTAAAGCACTGCTCTATTGTACTTCAGATGAGGTGTGCACTCTGATGCTAAGTGAAATTTAGTCAATCACCCCATTAGGTCTTGACGTAAACGGGTGCGAACCAATCAGCAATTTGGTGGACTCAAATATCCTCTGAACTACTGACCCATCAACCGACCTTTGCCTTTTCTCCACTGGTAACACTTTACTATCCTTAAGCGTTGGGCAAATCCGCGCAAATGAGTTAAGCTAACTATGGAAACACTGCCAGTACCTTAAGTCCAACATGCCCTCAGTATACGTAAGCATCTGCGCACCACTCGTTCATTCACTGGCCTCGAATACATCCGTATACCACAACTTCATACTCACGTACAAATTGTCCTTCATGCGGTGACCGATAGGCTCATGCGCTTACTTTGTGCTCATGAGGTTACCAGTTCAAATCCGCGTAGGTGCGGACGACATCACGGTATACCCAGTTCATGAGTTCCTGGTGATGGTCGCGTGGCAGTGTCTGTACAGTGGGCCGGCCTACTGCTGATGGCTAGTAGGGACCTTTTGCAGAATCAGGCGACCCGATGTACTGACCACTCTAGCTACATGCTTACACTAGTCACCTGTACCTAAGCCCATCATCAATTGTTGTTTTAACGTTTATTGACTCGGGTCTACCCAAACTAAAGTGTTTGAATGCGGCCTCTGAACTGCGAATGAATATTTAGGCTTTTAACTTGATCATTGATGTGCTGGCGATAATTTTATCTGATATTAGCCCACCTACATAGGCACCTACCTTTTCTGAACCGGGCACTTGACGGTTTTGCTTGATATTCTATTTCCGAAAATGGAAATGATTCCTCTTGATTGTCGGGGAGGAGTTGCCAAGACGTGTTCCCACTCGAAATGCAAGGTTTCTCGCATCGCTTGTCATATGATCAGTCACGCTTAGGCCAGACATTTTAACTCAAACTGCTCCGGATACTCTACAGACTGATGTTGGACTACACATTGTTTCCAGCCGGTAAGCATATTCGAAATACTGGGCACTTGACTAGGATACTGCCAGAGCGCCCACCCCTGACAGGAGAACAACTCGGGGCCCCAGCCAAAGCCTTTGATGAAGTGTACACCCGACAGGCAGCTGGTCGCTGTCCATGAGTCATTGGACCGACTTGCGTGGAATTGTCTTGGATCTTGGCTAGACCCGCTTCATTCCGGGTGTATAATCGAAGGCTTTGGCTGAGGACCCGAGTCGTTCTCCTGTCAGATGTGGGCGCCCTGCCAGTATCATAGTCCATCCTCTTCGGAGGTTAGGTAGTGGTCGAGGACCCTATTCTCGTAAAACCTATCCATGGGAGACAACAGGTCTACGGATTATAAGCTCACCGCTCGATTGGCGTAGAGCACAAGCGCCACGCATTGTCTGACGGTGGGACACCTCCGGGTGTTCAATAGTTTGCTACTGTCCGCCTCAAGCCAGACAGCCCCTGGTCAAATTGGTGCAAACCTGCCAAAACCGTCATGCGTCTGACCTTGGTCGCAGGTGCGTATCCTACTACGGTCGCACAAGACATGAATTGTTACAGAACTATAAAGGCTGCGTGTGACGCACCTCAAGCCGATCCTAATCTCTCTCTGATACAAAATTCCCGGGCTGGATCTGCTCCGCACTGCATTGTGGGTCAGGCTATTGAGTCAAAAGCCCCGGGCGGAGTCCCTCAAGCAAACCTCCGAAGCACAACCACCACAACGCGTGCGATTGCCCGCTAATGCAATCGCATGCCTGCGCGCAAAGCATTTAACATCGAATGCTGGCACGTGCGCATACTACTGGACCGGAACTCGAGTGAGCGCCCCTAGCGACGCACTGCACTGGTCACAATGGAACTGGCGTGCTACAACATCCATATTGCGGCGCTCAGTGAGACCCTGCTCGCTGAGCAAGATAAGTTGCATGGAGCTGGTGCTGGCTATATGTTCTACTGGGTGGATAACGCCATCTCAACACCACGTGAACCTGGGGTCGGATTTGCACCATCCGATCGCCTAAATGTTTTAGTTGGTGCGTGAAACAACAGGCATCAGTGCACGACTGATATCTGTTCGCCTACGACTCGGAAGAGGTAAGTGTGCCAATTTTATCAGTACGTGTTATCGCGATAACACGCGGGATCAGTTCTACACTCAGTTATCCTCCACGATACGGTCTATGCCGAGGAGTGACCGACTATTCCTGCTGGGCGATTTCAACGGCCGCGTTGTGTGTGATGCATCGGTGTGGACAGATCTTATCGACCTGCATGGCATTGGTTCAGGGAATGCGAACGGTGACAGGCTGCTCTCACTGTGTGCCACTCACGGCCTGACGATCACGAACACTTGGTTTGCACTGAGTGCGAGTGATATAGCAACTTGGGCGCACCCACGGACTGGTCACGCTCACCTGCTCGATTATGTCATTGTAGGTCAACGCGACTTGTGTGAAGTGTGCATGACACGTGTACTGCATGGAGCTGAGTGAGGCACTGATCACAAGTTGGTGCGGACCAAACTGTACATATATTTTGGTAAATCTATGTATTGCACTCCCGCCTTGAATCGGCGTAAATTTAACCTTCTCTCCCTCGGTACTATGGAGAAACGTATTGAGCTGGATAAGACAATGGCTGCACGTTTGTGTGATGCGGAAGGCGTAGCCACAGTGGGCGACTTGTGGCACCACATTCGTGACCAGGTGACAACTGATACCGAGACCATCGGGCGCGCAAACTGTAGGCGACCCGCATGGTTTGATGAGAACAATGCGACGATTGGCGCATTGGTTCCAGAGAAGAATGCAGCCTTTGCTGCACTTGTGGCATACCCTAGCGACTAGGGAAACGAAACTAATTTTCGCAGAATTCGACGGCGAATGACTCGAGAGTTTTGTCGCATTAAAATTGCTTAGTGGACGGAGATGATGCAGATGGAATGTTACACCGAACGCCGCCAACACAAGGAATTCTTTGACTACTTGAAAGCCGTGTATGGACCGAGGTTGTAACTGCTAAGGACGCTGCTCGATGGTAGTTCGTGCTCTGCCTGCACACAGTCTGCAGGCATAATGCAGATCTGACGAACTTCCTTCGGCCGTCACTTGAACAACCGTTCAGACATTGACTGATCTACATTGAACGGCCTGAAGCAGCACGAGGTGAAGTTGAGCCTGGCGGATACACCGACAGTGGATGAGATGTAGAGAGCACTTGCTCAGCTGCGAAACGGCAAGTGTGCCGG